GAGAATTCAGAAGATTGTCATTTTTTATATTGTGCGGATTATAATCGTCTTAAATGTAGGACTTAAGGTCCTAAGATAGGATAGGATATGATTCTGTTAACAGTAAATGGCCTAAGATAAGATAGATCAAGTTAAATAGGGTAAGGAAGTTAGTATTGAACAGAGATAGACGGCTAAGTCAAGTGACCTAATTTCGCAAACGTTGAGATTCTACATCATTTCTTAGTTGCTATCGTTGATTCCAATCAGATATATGTTCAGGAATATGTCTCATTTTGTTCTGTGAATATTACCAGCTTAGGGTAGCATACTAATTTTGCAAGGTTTTAGTTGAAGATATTCATAACCATGTGTGTACTTTTATCAGTTTGAATATTTGTCAAAAGGTGGCACTAGAGTAGTTGTGTGTATTATATACATGTAAGGTCAGATTGGTAATAAGATTGAAAACTGTTTTGTTAGGTATTTACAGTATCTTGTTTGATATACCATCTGAAGGACCTTAGTTTCATTGTAAAAACTCATTGTACATATTTCATACTTTTAGTTGGTTACATAATATATATATTTTAATTCAAATCATATTTTATGTTATTATTGAGATCAGTGTGACAGTTAGTTGTCAGTAGAGCAGATTAAAATTCATAACAACCAACACACTCCCTAGTCAAGGCCATATATACGCTACCACAGAAATTTCAAGTATATTTAAACATCTTGTACTTTTTATAACGTCACGGCTAGGCGAGTGTGACCCCCGGTTGTTACACTGGTTGGCAGCGTCGGGATTTTGTTAGGTTCTGCCCTATCAAGACCCACATTTTTGTATTTTTCAAGACCCACATTTTTGTATTTTTAGCAAAGCTTGTATTTTTCTCCAATATTGTAGTTGTTACATTTCAAGTCAGGTATTTTCATAATCCGTTAGGACAGTTAGAATTTATTGTACACATTTGAGACGATTTAATCAATAGCACAACAATGGGTATAAATCTTTCTCCAGCCTCTAGTAGTGAAAGTGGACTTATTCAACCAGCAATTAAACTAAACACTTATGATGGCACTGATTCGTTTGAGGACTATATTACCCAGTTTGACATCATATCATCATTCCTCAAATGGGACAACGATACAAAAGTTGCATATCTCGTATCATGTTTAAGGGACAGAGCACTTTCTGTACTTTGTGCTATGAACTCCGCAGATAGACAGGATTATTCTAAAATTGTTCGCAACATCTCCATCTACTGTGACAATTCTCTACAGCATACATTTGAGTTCTACCTTAAGAAGCTGCAAAACCGAGTACGTTTGCCAGGTGAAACCCTCACTGAACTGGCACATGATATCAAACGCTTATCCCGAGGAGCATTTGGGGACAATCAATACAGAGATATTATTGCTGTGCAAACATTTATTGACGCAATTGATGATATTGACTTAAGCTGGAGTATCTGCTCTAAAAACCCAGAGAATATTGAGGAAGCCCTAACAACTGGACTGCAATATGAAAGTCATTTCAAAGTTAAAGAAACAATGAAACAAACGCCTGTTATTTCTGACAATGTTCTAATCGAAACTGAACATTCTTCGCAATGTAATGCTACAGTGAGCTACAAACACATGAAAAATGACAATGACCAAAAGCAGCATGTTACCGGAGGGAGAGTTGATTCAAAGAGGAATCCGCCAGCTTTAAACAAAGCCATTGAAAGGACCCCTTCTGCTAAGAATGAACAATCAAATATTGATGATAACTGTATATTACATGTACCTGGCTATAACGTGAACTGTAAAGATAGGTCTCATTCATATAAACGTAAGAAACACTTATGCTACAACTGTGCTTCAGCTACACATATATATAGGAACTGTCCGTTTAAATGTGTTCCTGTGACTGGGACCCTGACATAACTACTAAATCGAAGTCATCGTGGATTATGCTGAAAAATCCCGAAAATGTGCTGTATTTCGCCATTGGATTGTGTAACCATTAGTGATATATTATATAGTGAAGGCAAGTGTATGTTGATTACACTGCCCATATAAATAAATATAGCTGAATAATTTCAACAATATGGATCATCAATCCGTGCATCATCTTCGTTCTCAGCTCATGTCATCAATCATCATTGTGTATATACTGAACCTGTATGTGACATCTACACTTAGACAGTATTGCGTTTTTGACCGATGATCTATCAGCTGGTCTGATATTGGAAGGAGTGCACGCCTTCCATCTTTGGGATGAAACTTACTTTAATAACTGTCGCTGTACCATATATTAACATTATGAAGAGGACATCTACATCAGTGACAATCCAGCTAGAGACTGAGCTCAGAGACTGTTAATCTTTGACAATTTGTAGTGATCCAGTATTTTGCATATATTTTGTATTAACATGTATTTTTTGTCCCTATAAACATAAAGTACAGGTTTAACATGTACATTTGGTACTTTAATATAATCTGATGCTATGTTGATTAATGGTATGTCACACAGCATTTGTGTAAAACATTTTATACTGCTACTTTGTTTTGAGACATTGTGTCTTATGTAATTTTCACTGAGCTTGTGGCTTATATATAAGTATTGTACCACATGATATATGTATTAAGTCCTCTATGTATCGATTTTATACTTTTGTTCAAGCGTAAATCGAGGACGATTTCTTTTTCAAAGAAGGGGGCAGTGTAACAACCCTGGGTAGTTACTTTTTATATTTCATGCCCAGTTTAATTATTTCATATAGCTGTTAATGTAAATATTTGTATTTCACTTTATTGTAAGGTTTAAAGGTCATTTAAACTTTTTATAACTTTTGAATTTGGTGCCAAAAACTTAAGCCTAGTTTAGATTAGCCAATCAGAGCACGTCTTAGAAAAGCGTTAGGAGGCGCACATGGAGAATTCAGAAGATTGTCATTTTTTATATTGTGCAGATTATAATCGTCTTAAATGTAGGACTTAAGGTCCTAAGATAGGATAGGATATGATTCTGTTAACAGTAAATGGCCTAGGATAAGATAGATCAAGTTAAATAGGGTAAGGAAGTTAGTATTGAACAGAGATAGACGGCTAAGTCAAGTGACCTAATTTCGCAAACTTTGAGATTCTACATCATTTCTTAGTTGCTATCGTTGATTCCAATCAGATATATTCAGAATTATGTCTCCTTTTGTTCAGTGAATATTACCAGCTTAGGGTAGCATACTAATTTTGCAAGGTTTTAGTTGAAGATAGATATTCATAACCATGTGTGTACTTTTATCAGTTTGAATATTTGCCAAAAGGTGGCACTGGTGTTGTGGAGCATCTACATGTAGTAGTTGTGTGTATTATATACATGTAAGGTCAGATTGGTAATAAGATTGAAAACTGTTTTGTTAGATATTTACAGTAATCTTGTTTGATATACCATCTGAAGGACCTTAGTTTCATTGTAAAAACTCATTGTACATATTTCATACTTTTAGTTGGTTACATAATATATATATTTTAATTCAAGTCATATTTTATGTTATTATTGAGATCAGTGTGACAGTTAGTTGTCAGTAGAGCAGATTAAAATTCATAACAACCAACACACTCCCTAGTCAAGGCCATATATACGCTACCACAGAAATTTCAAGTATATTTAAACATCTTGCACTTTTTATAACGTCACGGCTAGGCGAGTGTGACCCCCGGTTGTTACAGTTATACATTATAAGATCGCAAACTCTTACAAATTATCAGCCGAATGGCTAATTTTCAACGTTAAATGTCCTTAAAGCCCGGTATACACCAATGGGGCAAAATCCCACTTGCCCCATCGAGTCCCATCTTGCCCCATCGAATCCCAATTTGCCCCATCGAATCCCACGAAGTCCCATGGGACCTTGATGACTTTGCCCCATCGTGCCCCATGGAGTCCCATCAAGCCCCATGGAGTCCCATCAAATCCCACCGTGCCCCATTGGTGTATGTCGGGCTTCACACAACACGTCATATGATCGAAAATCCCACGATGCCCCATGGAAAGAATGAACATGTTCATTCTCGATGGGACTTCGTGGGATTTTGCCCCATCTTGCCCCATCGAGTCCCACCGAGTCCCACGTGGGACTTCATGGGACCTCATGGGACCTCGTGGGACTCGATGGGGCAAGATGGGGCAAAATCCCACGGAGTCCCATGGAGTCCCACGAACATCATGGGGCAAAATCCCAAAAGGTCCCTCGAGGTCCCACGCAATGTTAAGTCTATGGAGGTCCCAACTTGCCCCATTGGTGTATACCGGGCTTAAGACAACAGCCCTGGGTCGCGCCTATGACGAAAATAAGCTTGAATATCCCTCCCCTAAATAATATTGATAATCACATTTATGCGTGCGCGCGCAGCTCGTCCACTGAACGAAACGCCACTTCCCGCTGAAATCACCGGGTATTGATCTTTCCCTTGGGTGAGCTATGCTCTTTTGTCAGTGTGACGTAAAGGGGTCACTGTTTTTTGTTTTGTTTTTTTAGCTTTCTCTCGAACATTGGAAGAAAGAAACACATTTTCATGAAGTCATTCTCCGTAATACAGTAATAGGTTTGATTTTTTATAAAACAAATACTATTTTCTTTATCTTCATCAATGAAGAGATAGGTATTGATATGGTGAACTGAATTCAACAATGTTTTTCTCTTAAACCAATTATCGAAAACCTCATGTTGTAAAATCACAAAAAGTGAAATATCTTTTCTTGTATTGGGTAGATAATATTTTCTTTTACTGGTAATACTTTAATTTGTATAACTATCAGATACATAAGGGTAATATGAAAAGTGAACTCCTAGAACTGATGAATATTCAAGTTTAAGGGAATTTTGTAATACCCTGCAATGTTATTTCCCCGAATTAGCAACCTGGTGGCGAAACTGGTAACTGCCTACTCGCATCTGAGTAATTGAATAGATTATTTAGTCAATAAGTCAATCGATTTTAATTATACAAATATAGTGCAAATAGAGTTCTTAGCCTGTGTGAATATTTTTATTCAATTTTGATTTCACAAATAAGAGCAGTTTCAAATGGCATTTACTTAATTTTGAAAATCATTTAAAGTTCTTAACCTGTCCGGACAGGAAACGCTACGCAGTTCTATTGGACTTTCATTTCACAAATGTAGTACAACTTATAGTCGCAATTCCAATTATGAAAAAGAAAGTCGTCGCCACCATAGAGTATAACACACTTCTGAACATTAAGAGCATTCGGCTGATTAGGTCTCCACGGGGCAAACGAGATTGGCTTTGTCTTCCATGATGGACCACCTATCCACTGCCAGCCGCCGTTAAACAGTATACCACCGACAAAAAATGTATCTCCGTCTACGGGGTGACTATTTCCAACAAAACCTCTTCCTTTAATCTCTCTCCTCAGATAATCGAGCTCTGCTTGCGTTTCTATAGCGGCAAGATTTGCATCCATCATTGAACAAACTGAGAGAGCATCGTACCACGTGATCTTATCGGATGTAACGAAGTTATAGCAGGAACCCAGGTCGGGGTTGTAGATGAAATTCAAAGGACAAACTGATCTCCGGTTGCAAGTATCTTGAGCTCCTTGCACGGTACCCAGTATAATGACGGCCACACAGAGCAAAATTCTTGTCATTTTGGAATATTACCTGGAAAAACATGAAATCATTTGTCCACAACAATGCACTCTCTATACAATGGGTACGTTGTCAATCGTCATCTAATATACACTTGCATCTACAATTATCGCTTGATTATTCAGTAGTTTCAGTAACTTTGTGTACAAGAGGCAGATGAAAAATACAAGAGGCGGCATTCAAATTAACCAATTTTACGCTCCCGACAATGCAAATTCTTGTTATTTTAGAGTCCATGGACTGAAAGAAAGATGTCCAAGGTTTGTCAAAGTCATTTCCACGTGTGATGTGGCAAGACATGGGCTCCACAAAATAACGCCTGGAACTGTGGAATGACTAGGGCAACTTATATAGATGCCATTTACCTTTTATAAAATAACTTACCCTTACACAGGTTGCATTTCACAAATCCAAATGCACCTGTTGAATTGAACACTTTTGATATAAATCAAAATCTTGAATTGTCATTATTAAAATGAGTGATGTATACATAGATGATTCACTTGTGATTATGTGTATATCAGATTCATTTTAGTTTTTTTAACACCTCCAGAGGGTCCAGGGTGTTCCAAAAGTAACAGGACTGGTGCTGGTATTTTGTTAAATATACACCAATTGTCTTCAAAATTTTACAGAATGTACCTTCATGTTTTGTAACTAAAATTGCTGAATTACATGATTTTGGTCGAAACTGATTTAGAAATCGGCCGATGACTACTCATCGGCCAGCGCCCGGTGCATATATGGCCTAGGCATTAGAGAGAGACCGAGGTGGGAGATATCCCCCTCCCATCTACACCAAACTTGTTCTCACTACGCTTTCGAAAATTGCCTGAAAGGCCTCCTCACACATTATTAAGGAAAACATATCTACACATTTTGCGCATTTAACCATTTGATAACATATTGTGGATCTTATCTTAATTTGTTAATGTGAATTCGCACCTTCATTTGCATGGAATACTTTGATGAAATCCTTTTTTGATGATCTTTGTTATAATGCTGATGTTTGGCTAAGCTTCGAAATTCCAAATTGAATAGCCTACTAAGGATACCATGTTGTAAATATTGTTTTCTTTATAATATATTGAGCTAGGACTGCTCAAACAAATTCGCTTTTTGTAGCTACAAGTATTTAATTTCAATAGATGATAAACTTCTCAATATAAGAAATTACCCTCATAAGACATTGTTGCAAGGTGTGTTGCAATTTATGTGGCACCCCGCATTCCCGGGGCCGCATTATGTATTCTCGAAGAAAGCCATCATTATAAACCATGACATCTCATTTCTTCTAAGCCCTGTGTTTCAGGTGAAACAGAAAGATGCTATCAGAATGGACGAAAGCATATATTTGCATTGATGGTGTATAGATAGTTATTTTATATAGTGTTTTTAGTTGTACGTGGAAACCTATTCTAACCAGGAAGGATATTTTTCAAGATCCTAAAGTTGCAATTTTCGTTATTGTGTTTCATTGTAAAGACGCACCCGTGAAAGTGTGTCGCTGGTATAAAGGCGTACCGTAGTTCTAAGATACACGTTTTTTAACTTGTACCTGAACGTGTAGAATTATGGACCTGATGGATTTTTCTCCCTTTTGTACTGTTAATACTTGGCCGGTTGAGTATATAAAGGTATACATGTCCCAGCTTTTGGTAAGTGGGGGGTCAAACCTCCCCCCTCCCCATCCACACATACACCTTTTATCATGCTTTAGTAACTTCGCATTATAATTACAAGTCCACCCGTGTAGCTCTGCGGTAGCGCATGTACCTCTTATGCAATAGGTCCCGGATTCGATCCCCGGTTCAGGCAAGACTAAATTTGCTTGTTTGCGTGAAGTACTCCAGGGTGTTTGACTGAGTGGCCCGCAACTCGTACAAAAAGGCTGTGGTGTGTACTTGTATGTCTATGTATAAGTGCACATAAAAGAACACAGGGCTCCTTCAAGGAGGGGTTTCTGGGTCTATCTTCCAGGTTAATTACGTAACTTACGACCGTATATATACGAGATATACCCAAGAGGTACTGTATTGCTCACCTTCATTGGTGGTAAACAAAATACAATACAAGGGTGTTATAAACGAGACACCAGGATGATAAGGTAGGGGTACAATATAGGGCCCTAATCTTGAGAAAGAGTCGAAGGCATGCGAGGCGAATCCTGGAAACTCGGGTTCGGGAAAGCGGGGTTCACTGTTTGGTTCCGTTGACACCTGTGCGAAACTGCATTCATAATTTATCCGACAGTCGCTTTGATAATGTTTCTTTATCTCGTCTTCTTCTCGATATTTAAAGAAGAATTATCAAAGCTCATCAAGAATGGACAATCTTGCACTGGTACTCATATAAGAACCTTTATATCTTTATAACACCAAAATAAAGATTGAAAAACGGACACACTATGTTAAAAATGTTATATCTAATGTGCCAATTCAATGATTTAGCATATCGAAAATATTTTCAACCTAAGTTACCACATCGTGACTATGTGGCAACATTTTTCAATGTCAATCTTTTCTTAATATGCTAAACTTAAAAAATAAACCAATTTTGACTGTCCAACCAGGTTAAAAGGATGAATATATTATCTTTTTAATATTATTTTACCATTGGTTTCTATGAGAATTAAAATTTTGAAATGCATCTTTCCCTGAACCACTTTCATGCATGTATGAGTTCATTGCTCGCTCATCTATCAACCAATTTTCTTGATTTTGTCGGCAAAAAAACAAGTGAGGATGATTGCTATGCATCGGTGTGACACTTCAAAGGATAAGTGTGACCTCTTAAAGCTAGTTTTGAATAAATTCACGATATTTTGAACAAAAAGTCCTTCAAAAACATTTTTGAAATAATGAAAAGTTTCACATTTCACACGTTGATAACATTGGATAAGACAACAATATAAGCCAAAGTGGTTTAAACTTTATATGGGGCCTTTAACTGATTAACACAATTTAACACCCACTGGAAAGACTATTTGACTTCTAACAAACGGCGGATTATCGAAAACAAACGGCGATTTTGAACACTCGCCCCCTACAATTGAAAGCCCAGTTATTTCATGATGTTATCTAAAAGCATATCCGTTATCGTAAGAAAATTGCGAAATATCTGGGTTGAAATTACGACAAGACGTATCTTTCATCATGATTGCACGAGATAGAATTGCTCGTCATGTGACAAAAAGTGATTTTTATAAGCTTTTTAAGTGTTAAACAATGTCAGTACTGATCCAATCTCGTCATAGAGTTGAACGGATCATACAGGGTGAGCCAAAAAGGTAACCCAAACAAATGTTGATTACTCCGTCATCAAATATGATTCAAAATCATATTTGATACAATAAATATGATTTTAAACTCATGTTGGACGACCGAGTAATCACCATGTTTTGGTTATCTTTTTTGGCTTACCCTATAGATTGCATATTAGGACGTTTAGGTGATGCTATCTACGTCTTTGTTAAAGTTAGGTTAGCCTAGTGTATTAACATCTTCATTTTCTTACATCATCTGTAAACATTTGATTTCTTGTGATTAGGGAAGGGGGCAAGGGGAATGACTTTTACGTTTTCTGAAAATAAAACAATTTTGGATATGCACGTAGTTGCAAATATTAGACGCAAGGTTTGCAAATATTAGGCAAACCGTTTGTATCAAAAGGCACGCAGTTTGGAAAATCTAGGTTAATGTAGGCAGTTTGTCAATGATTCAAACTACGCAGGCATGCAGTTTGAGTACCACAACTACTATTATGAGACATTTCGAATCACTTCTCAACGAATCGTGTCCGAAAAAATGTTGAGTTTGAGATGATTTGAGTACTGTTCACACGCAATAAATGAAAAAAAGAGTTTTGGCCCATCCTGTATATGGATGATTGGATGATTGTTAACGCTCATCTAAACACATTGACTTCGTGCGTTGACGTTCACACTAAAGCTTGAATGATATCTCATTATCGTATTTTTTATTGCTCGTTTTGATTGCAATAAAAAAATATAAAAATATATTACAATAGGCACCACATTTATGTTTTTCAATTATTCAAAGCAATGTACTCTACTGTTATTATCAATAAGCACATTACGAAAAACATTAAAATATTGTCAAAAGACTTAATAGTCTTCTGTACAATACTTTATTACTTTGTTTTTCTAGTTGAAATTTCAATAACGATAAAACATAATAACATTGTATTTCCAACCTTTGTCTGGATTTAACAATATCAATTACACTTGGTAATGATCGTGCTTTGCCGGTTATGTCTAACTATACTAATATTATTACTGGTTTTTCATTAAGATTTATCCAACCAGATTAAAGGCCCAAAAGAAAAACAATTCTAAAGTTTGTCACTTTTCAACCTGGGTTTTCTTATTTACTTTCTTTGACAGAGATGACGGTAAAATTGACACGCTTGTGTTTACTAGTACCCGATATCCTGAAGAGTACTCTTGACAAAAATTGTTTCAATTTAGAATATTTTGGAATCATACCAGCCTTATCAGGTCTATTTTCTCAAAATTGTATACTGTATTTGAGGAAAACTCACATTTTTACAAAAATGGATGTCCTTGTTTATAAATATGGTTAGCATTTTTATTATTTCAGACAATTTACACTATTTCCCCAGTTTGGCATTTTGGCTCATTTACTTTCACTTTCATTTTTAAACTACAGTGACATCTTTTGATCTTTTCCGATATTAAGTAACCTTTAAATCTCTCATAATTTGACATTCAATATTAAAGCCAGCTGGTAGGGGTGCTCCTTGCTCATGATCGGGTGATAGTGTCATTAAGTTTTTACCAATCACAGTGACCAATGGGTCACGTGACCAGAGTCTGAAGCAAGGAGCAGGAGCGGTGTCTGTATGTCAGTTGCATTCTTGGTTTTAAGGTGTCAACGCCTTTTTATTAGATAATACATTTGTACTTAACTGTTATATATACAGGCCCGTAGCCAGAGGGGGAGCTGGGGGAGAGGAAGCTCCCCCCCCCCTGGCCAGAAATTCTTTCAAAATCATGCAGTTTTGCACCATTCTGAGAATTTTTCGCATGATTTTTAGCCAAAATAGTGAAAAAGCTCCCCCCCCCCCCCCTTGGAAAAAAGCTCCCCCTCCTAGTAAAAGCTGGCTACGGGCAAGATATACATAATATTATTTTACAGGATAAAGGATATATAAACTTTGAGTGTTTGCTTGTTTGTTATTGATTGAATGGTTAAACCAGTGAGATTTTTACAAAAAGCACGTCTTTGTTGAGACCGATGATATATCGCTACCACCCCCTCCCACATAGGTAAATCTCGAAAGAACCCAGTGCTTCAATATTTTTACTTAATTTGTAACATATTTGAGATTGTAAGAAATGTAATCACGAGAAAATGCATTTATGATTGTAGGTAGGACATCAATAAAGCTGATAGCATCACGTTTCATTGGAACCAACAAGTTGCCAAGTTTACTTTTCATTAAGGAACTTGCGTAGTTGCGTTAGCTGAGCTATAGCTACAAGTATTTTTATTTATTTATTATTTATTTCCTTATATTGTATGATAATAAAATTACATGAAGTGGAAGACCCCCTATTGGGGATATTATCCACAAAGTAGGAAATTACAAAATGAAATTGATCAAATCGCCTGTACCTACCCCCTCCCCGAGGCCCGTCTGCTCATATGGTAAGGATATGTAAAATCAAATTTTGCTTTGTGCCAGAATGAATGATGATGTACCTAGATTAAAATACTTGAAAATTGCAAGAAACAGTAAATAATTTCACACTCAATTATATTGCTGGATGATCAAAATAATAGTGTATTGCATTGAACATATACTTCATGACAACAATTTTAATTTCAATTTACTTTTAAATTTAGAAGGAGCTAGAGTTAATGTGTTGCAGGTCATCTGTGAGATTATTCCAGGAATCAGGTCCCTGTTTACTGATAGAAAATTGTCCAATATTTTTTCTAAAGGACGATTCTCGGTTTGGAGAACGAAATTCATCAATCTAAATGAGCATTATCCCTGCTTCGGACAAATTTGATTTTTTTACATAATATAGATTTGAATGTCTTCTTTTGAATAGTCATAATTTAATTTGGGTAATATTTCTAGATTTTTCGCAAAAAAATATGAGCGCAGTACACTGATGAACTTCTTTCCCCGAATCGAGACTTGTATTTTATTGAATCGGTCAAATTGAGTGTTATCCCTGCTTCAGTCCAATTTGTTACTTTTACATCTAGTAGATTTAAATGTCCTCTTTCGAATATTCATAGTTTAATTTGGGTAATATTTCTATATTTTTCATGAGAAAAATTATTAGCCCAGGAGACTGTTCTCCAAACCGAGAATCGTCCTTTCGAAGGTCTCAGTTTTAATTGTTGTCTTGTCAGGTGTTCATGAATTTCTCTATTTGGGGTGAAGTAGTTATTAAATTGTCTCTCATAAGTTTTATTGATGCCTTTAACACATTTAAATATATAGAGAGCGTTCAACAATTTGGAAGATATTTAGTATGCTGGCCTCTTTAAAATAAGGGGCTGTGTTATCTCTAGGCTTACAGTTACTAAAAAGTATTCTAAATGAATTGTTTTTGTAATCTATGGATTTTAAGTAGGTATGAAGGTGGAACATTCCCCCAGATTATAATATTGTAATTGATGTAAGAATAAATAAGAAAGTAGTATATCGTTTTTAGTGCTTTGTAATCTAAGTTTTGTTTGACTCTATGGAGTACTGCCAAGGTCTTTGATATTTTTGTTTCAACATGTCTTATGTGAGGCTTCCAGGAAAGATGTTCATTGCCTTTTCAAAGTGAAAATAATCTTCATCTATTGAAAGAGATGGAAGAATTTTATTTTCCTCTAAAAGGGAGTCACCAAAGTCTTTTAAATACGATAAAAGCGCATTTCGTAATTAGATAATTTGAACATATTTATTTTAATATTTTTATTAACCTAAATACGGTTTATGTTTTCCTTATATCAGATATAATGGTGAATGAAAAAAACGAATAATACACACCTCTATGTTGAACGTGGGTATACTATATCCTGAGACTACTCAGCTATATCTAGTTTCGCAGCGAAGAGTACCTTTACGATTGACTCGGCAGTCCAACGTCGGAGTTTTATATTCATAATACAATAGACAGACACCAATCACTGGGATCAACTGGAAACGAGGACAGTTTGTCCTCGTTTCAACATGGCTGCACGTCTGGAACCAGAGAACTTTTGCTTTCTCGATTCTAACTCTAATATTCTTCAAACTCAAACTCGAGTTTTCATAAAAGGTTATTAGTTGGATATTTACAAATTAATTCAACCGCTTTGAAAAGAGAAAAGATTTTCCTCAGCAGTGATACAAAAGTGAGATGGCTTAACAGTGCAGTAGGCATATCCTGATTTTTCACCGCAATTGAAGTCACAGTAAAATGCCTGTTTTCATTGAGTAAAGTGATCACGAAAGCCAAAACAGTAAGTTCAATCCTTTTAAAGACATCGACGATGCGCTATCATATGGAAATTTGACACGGTATATACAGTTGAAATATGATAATGTTTTATATGTCTCTGATGTAACACTCAATGGCATTGGAAATTGTTGGAGACGGGGTAAATTGGTTTTCTTTTTTATTAGTTCAGGGGTCTAGATAAGCTGAAAAAATTATTAGTCAATGTGGCTTATATTTTCTAAAAAATTTTAGCCACTCTGAAAAATGATTAGCCAAAATATTTTTTATCAAATGACATGAAAAGCGTACTTCAAACAAACTTCACATGTCATCGTCCCGCTAACGCTATTGCATGTCAACCAAGGCTGCCCCGCCTTCCAATCTCTGGTCGGAAAGATCAATCCGGGACCTCAATGGTCCCAGAAAGTGCAAGAAGAAATGCTTACATGTAGGCTAGTCTACCACCTTCGTTTGTCCGAATTCTCACCGGTTTTCGAATATAATAAAAAGTGAACCCCTGCAACAGGCTATATTTTCCTTAATACATGCATTGAATTGTATAGAAAGGTCAACATTTTTGTTGATGCCATAATTTATTCTGAGTCTTGAATTTTGAAGAAATTACAAGACTTAAACAAACATGCCTGAAAATTATATATTGTGCAAAATTTTACCAATGTGATTCACGGAAATTGGATGATCTTAAAAAAGCTTACATTGAAATCTAGGAGTTTAAACCATACCATATGACAAATGGGACACTATTTGTGCCGAAAACACATTTCACACTTTCATTAACCATTTTGAAGCAGTTTTAACCACTCAACAGTCAAGGGGCATGTTACCTACGCAAACGGTTAGAGGTGGGCAAAGTTACCCCCTGTGACCAAAAATCTAAGAAGCCCTTCATATAAATATCTTACAAAAATCAAAAGGAAATCTAAAATTCAGTGTTTTAAGCCATATTTCATTAGAATTGGTCCATGATTAAAGGGACAATAAGGACTGCAGAGAAAATAGTTAAGTTTTTTCATTTTTTCTGAGCTATCAAGGCAACATTTGGTTTAACATCTTCTTTGACATACCCATTTTCTTAAAATGTATGGATAAATTATCAATTTCAGCATTAAGAAGTGTAAATTCAGTTCAAAGCTTCAAAAAGGGGACTTCCACTTTTATATTTTTAAGATCCACCATGTTTCAAGAGGAATATCAGCTAAAATAATGTTTATCTAGGGGGTTTCTTTGTAGATAATAAAAATAGAAGTTAGTCTTGATGAAATATCCAAACTTAAATATATTTTGACACTGGTCCATGATCGTTGAATGACCCCTCTGCACTAATTATTGCACCTTTAATGAAGATATTGACATTTTAAGACCATATAGGGGTAGGTTGCGATTTCACTGGAAAATGTTTTCGTCTTTGGAAACATAGACCATTTCTTTGCTCACAATAACTTTGCAACTACATGTAATGGAGGCAGGATCACGGTGTTCAAGTCTTAACAATGGAAATTGTTCAGGACGTGTTTTTTCAAACGATTTAGACGTGTTTTGTAAGAACATGGAATACGACATTCGTTAGATTGGAGCAAAAAGATAAGAATAATCTATATTTTACAAACTTACATTACTTGACTTCTACCTAAAATGTTCATCTTCATACCCACGTATCTATTTTAGCGATCATTCCATCATACTTCATAGTACTCGCAATTATATACCAAAAATGTCAGAAATATGTACTAAATTTGCATTAAGTGTTATTTAATTAAGTTTAAACAGACTATCCATTCAACAACGTGGAATAATATTCATATTAATGTTTTCACCATAACATGCGGGAATCAAAACCAAACAAAGTCAGACAACATTAGGTTTTTCAGACTGCAGCTAAAAAGATTTCCACAGGAAGTTTGTTGAAGGGTTGAAGAATCGCAAATGTTGAAATTCACATTTTATCGATTTTCAGTGATGTTTGGTTAGGGCTTATAATTTCTGCAAATAACAAGACTTCGAAAAATGAATGGTACCAACAAAAATATTAGACCGTCCTCTACAACACGGGGAAATATGAAAGGATTCTTGCAGATAATAAAGGAAATATAGCCTGTTGCTTTTTGGACCACCCTGAATGATAATTTAAAATCTTTGGAGTAAATCCTAATAACTTATGTGCCATGAAATGGTATATGTATTCCCCAAATTATTATGAACTAGTGTATAAAAGTCTTGCAAAGGGTAGTTTAACAGTATACGTTAAGTTAGATGAATTTAACAGTATTATACAGATATGTTAAATGTTGTGAGATACTTTAATACAATCGTCGTTTTAAATAGGTGTCATGTTCTCACTTCTAAATACTGATTAGATAATGTAGGTCAGTATGACATTACAAGTAATTGTTTAGAGTCACTTAAACTTGAACAAAACAAAACGAAACGTATCTTGATATGCTATTAACATTATCAACATTTGACATAAACGTAATTGTTTTTCAAATATCTAATAAACGTGATGTGTTATATGCGTGAATTACAGGGTGGACACAAAAATATACAAATCTAAGTTGGGAAGAGTCTACGTAGATGTGGAGAATTTTTTTGCACTCTTAATTGATAATTTTTTCTTCGCGCGTCGATGGCATTAAACCCTAGATATTTGGGCTATGTGTTTAAATTCTTTTACAAATGAAGGCTGTTATTTTGACACTCGTCTTGCGGACGTTGACACTGATTATGAATGTTGAATACTGTATCTACAACTATTTGTGATATCCAGATTATTAGATGTATATATTATAGATATTCTAAGCATGTATTGAAATTACTTCTATATGATTGCCTTGGTCTTCTTGTAGTTTTCTCGGTCAGATAACAGTACCTGAAAATACAATGATGCATCATTCAGCTGAGTAAAAGGGACTTATAAAAACAAACATATTGGTCAACGTAGTTGCTTCAATCAATTAAGTTAACTTTGAAAGTGTGCTACCCCATAACTCAAAAATATTGCCATATGCCGTCAAAACTGGTTGGTCTTAGGGGGCTGTCTTGCACCTTGCATTTAAAAGAAGATAATAAAAATCGTCTAAGATAAAAGTCTTAGAGGCAGTTTTGAAGAATTTTGGTCCACCTAGTATTCACTTTTATCTCATAATATAAGTGTGTCGAGTTTTAAAGTTTTAATCTATGTTTGAGATTGATGAGTCGATGAAGTCAGTAGTTATGTAATACTATGAAAAGGACGAGGATGAAGCCGCTTATATTCATCAACTGGCTCTTTATTGCATTTATGGTTCCATTGGCTCAAGCAGATCTAGAAGGTAAGCAAATTTTGATCTACTACACATAACTAGACTTTGGACAAGATTCATGAGCCATTTCATAAAGCTGAACAAACATGATTTATATTTGCTAAATATAAATAGGCGAGTAGAACCAATGGTCAAATGTGCCAGGAAAGTACTTTTTAAAATACATCATGGGGAAAAGGACAAATGAGGTACCGTTGTAAAGCTAAGGACTTCGGCTTTTCAAATCCACCTGTACCTAAGTTTGAATTTGGGGCGAAAATTGCAAAAACATCCGTTTCCATAGCAACCATTTAAAATACAATCAATAAATCAGAAATCACCTTTCGGATCGCAGAACACCTGTTATCTGTCCAATTCAAATGATAGATATATCAAAATGAAGCTATTGATGTCCCCTTGTTTACAAACAAGAAAATATGCAAATTAGCTAATTTTCATATCTATTATGACATCATAAGTAGATTTTTTAACCGAATTTGAGACATTTTGGAGATGTATCTGATATAATAATGAAGCATTATTTGTAATTGAAAATTATTGTTAGATATTACTTATAATTCATTATTTGAGTTAGAAATAAATTGACTGCAAGGTTTGAAAAGTGTTAAGAATCAAAATCATAGGATATCCTATAAATATTATACTTACATCAACAATATCACTGCTGTTTATCACAATAATATTGAAAATATTTTATTGCTCAATTCTATGTCTGAAGATATACAAAATAGTGTACCTTATTATATTATCATATAGTCCTGCAAGATTTCAACTTATGATGGACATTTTGGATGCATGCTGTATTTGTAACTTTTCAGTATATTTAAGGGGTTCTGAATTCAAATCTGCCGGATGTAATTTGAGTACTGCGGCATTAATCTGTACAGCCATTTCAATATGTGCATCCAAGAGTCCATTTTTCTCAATTTTTTTTCAATTCAATGCATTTATATTTGCTAATTTTAAAGGAAACATATTGATCTAATCAATTTAATTGTGATTTTCCATGATATCTTATATATTTTCCAATTTGTTCCAGGAATTCCAGGTTCAAACAGTTAAAATAATTAAAGGTATTTGATTTTTTCCCTTGTTTTCATCATATTTTGGCCAGTTTTTGGCTTCCAGTATAAAACTGCGCATTGTTTAAATATAGCATTAGGTGCACTTATAATGATTGGATTATAACTAAAACTTCCAAATATCATTAATAGAATATGAACAGCAGATTAATACCATAGGTAACATATTTGGTCTATACAAAATGACATTACTCCAAATTATAGATGTACTATGGTACCCCTACCCCATTCTTCTAAAATAGTGATTTTCAAGA